TGGTGTAGAGGGGACAGACATACTAAACTGTAAACTTCAGCTCTTCAGTGATTATTTCTCTGTGATTATTAAAACTTCAGCATTTTTTCCTTAATAAGGTAATTTTCCCTTTGGTTTTGTGGTTGAATGCAGCGCTCGGAACGCTGCTCAGGTATAGGCCAGGAAAGGTCATGTCTGGGTGTTTGGGGAAGAACGTAATTAGACGATTATCTAGAGAGGCTTTCACATGTAAGAGCAAAGGACATAATCTGTCCGTTTGTTAATCTGAAGATTAATATCTCTTCCTGAAACTAGTGTTACCACACACCCCTTTTGATTTCTGCTTTGCCAGAAAGGAAGGTGAGCCTGTAGAGCTGCAGTTTTTGGCGATCACCAGCCCACATCCCGGTACAGTTTATACCACAGCCACTTGTGCTCTCTGTGCTCTGTTTTCAGTTGAGGCACAGGTGAACCCCCAAGTGAATGCTGTGGCCATTGGATATGATCTCACTGATTTTCTTATCCCTTTTGCCTGAAGGGGACAGTGTTCTAGCCTGGTTGTAACTGTACTGATATGGTGTTGTTTTAGTGGCGCAGTGTTACAGACTGTGACAGACAGTTCCTGGAGCAGGAGAATTGTTTGTGAGCAAAGGCTTGTGACTTGTGAAGTACTTTTATATTCTCACAGGCTAACAATGATTTTTTTTTAATTTTTTTTCCCAAAAAAAAAGTCTACTGAGCAGTGAATGTAACCAAGTCTTTAGGCTGTGCTGAATGTGCATTTTTATAAATTACTGTTCAAGGTTTCTGAACATAAAGCCCTGCATCTTTCTTTTTTTTTCCCCTGTCGTCTTACTGCTGTCCTGAATACTTTACTTTTTTTAAGCTCTGGTAAATAAAAAGTCTAACATGCTCTCTTTTTTGAGGGGAGACAGAGAAGGAGAAAAAACATACAATTTTATTGAAACGAAGGAATTAAATTTTGGAGTTGATCTTTTTTTCTGTTGTTTTCTAAGGTTTGATGAAGTAAAGGAGGGAGATGTGGTAAGGCATGATGGGAAGAGATCCGATGGTTACCTGGAGCACATTTTTAAACACGCTGCAAAGGAGCTTTTTGGCATGGATGTCAAGGAAATCACCTACAAAGCATTAAAGTAAGTTAAGAGTTTTGTATCCTTATTATGTAGGATGGGCTAGTTAGAATACAATATTTTCAGCTGGAAGGGACCTACCACGATCATCTAGTCCTACTGCCTGGCTACTTCAGGGCTGGCCAAAAGTTAAAGCATGTTATTAAGGGCATTGTCCAAATGCCTCTTAAACACTGACAGGCTTGGGCGATTGACCAGCTGCCCAGGAAGCCTGTTTCAGGGTTTGACCACCTTCTCGGTACAGAAATGGTTCTTGTGTCCAGTCTAAACCTCCCCTGGTTTAGTGAGTGCTACAGCGAACCCTAATGTAGTTACTGCCAACCCAGCTCTTTAACTGACAGGCAGTTACACATCATACACTTGTGAATTTGTTGCTGTAAAGTAGCTCCTATTAGCTTTCATTTTATTAATAACTTACCCGCCCTTAAAAATTAAGTATAATTCTGTTCTGAAAATTAAATTCCCAACTTCTGCTTAACTCAGTGGAGGAACTGCCTTAATCTCCCTGTTACACTTGTTCTGTTCTCTTCAGAGCATCTGAATACAAACTGACACAGTTGGATGCGGGGGCTTAAAATGTTCTGTCATTACAGGAACAAGGACTTTCAAGAAGTTACCCTTGAAAAGGATGGTGAGACAGTGTTGCGTTTTGCAGCAGCTTATGGCTTTAGAAATATCCAAAACATGGTTCTGAAGTTGAAAAAAGGAAAGTTTTTATACCATTTTGTAGAAGTCCTTGCCTGCCCAGGAGGTAAGAATAACCCACAGACGTATCTTGAATGCACAAGTCATTCCGCATACGTATCTTGAATCTCAAGGGAAAGTTGTCTTAGAGGCAGGCACTTAATTTCATTCCCTCTTAATTGTCTTCTTAATAATCTAAAATGCTTACTATTTAAGGAACGGTCCATAACACCAATTACACATGCAGGGTTAGCTCAGAAATCGATTGGTTTTTCTAAAATTAACCACAATGTTATTTGCTCTCTTCTGACCTATAAATAAGTGGCAGCATGGCTCTTATGATTATTTCAAATCTCAGAGGAAATAATCTGAAAATGGTTGTCAAGGGCAAGAAAAGACAAGGATCATAATTAACATCATAAAACCATGGAGAAGGCAGAGAAAGATTGTTGATATGGCAACTTCATTTACATTAAGATGGTGTTGATATTGGAGTCACTTTAAGTAAATACAAATTCTAACAGCATGGGAGGTAGTTTATGTAAAGAGACAACTTTTTTTTTCTTTAGAGAAGTATGAATAAGAATTCCAAGTTAACATAAACCTTTCTCTTCGTATCAAATCTTCATCACCCTTGTGGCTTTTTCTTTTTTTTTCCCCTCCCCTAAGGATGCCTAAATGGAAAAGGCCAGGCACAAACTGAAGATGGAAAACCAGATAAAGCACTGCTTCACCAGATGGAAGAAGTGTATGCTGCAATACCTGTTAGACTTCCAGAAACCAACGTGCACGTACAAAAGATGTACCAGGACTGGCTGGAAGGCATGGACTCTAAGAAGGTCCAGGAAACTTTGCACACCAAATACAGTACAGTAAATCAAACAGCAAGCAATTTGGATATTAAGTGGTAATAAATCAAACTGGCAAAAGATTTGCTTAGGTTAGTTACAGATTCAGCACTGGAAACATTCTATGCAATCGCAGATGCTATGCACTAGCCGAGTGTATGAATGAGACGCTTCCTAATTGCAGATTATTATTTGTGAAGAACAATTGCTTTTTAAAAACAGAAAGTGTCCGAAAGCCCTGGATCCTGCCATTGTCATTTAACTTTTACTGTGTATAATCTCCTGCATATAAGGGATTTATTTACTCAAAAATGTCATCTTGCAAGGTACATAAGCACCTTCTGCCTGTGGCAGGGAGTGTAAAAGTTACTCCCTGAAGTGAAGGGTTCACTTCACAAAATGGGCTCCCCTAAGAAGGTGAGGTTATTTTACTCCTACTCCTAGGTATGCAATCCCTTTCATCATGGGGAAAAAAGTCATCATTAATTTCAATGTTGTTGCAGTTGTTGTAAAGTAATTTGAAATTTACTTGCCTTGTTAACAAAAAACCCTTTACAGTGACAAGTGTGTATGGAGAAGTATAATGAATTTATGTATGCCTTCTATCCAGATCTTCACAAAAATTCAGCTCCAAACTAGTCACCATTCCTTACTGATGTCATAATCTGTAAGGAAAAGGATGCTTCATATAAACCAAACCTGGAAAACTAACGCTAAAGGGTTATAACACAATCCTTCATTAAAAATAGTTCCAAATAGAGTGGTTGGTACAAAAAGAGAACTTTTCTTTTCTTGTAAGTTTTCCGAGAAAGTTGGAGCCAGGAAGAGTGGTGCTGCTTACTTTGTCTGGCTTCTTTACGAGCGTGAAACGTGCATATGCGCTGTCACGTGAGCGTGTGTGTACTGCAGCTTTGCTAGATTTGCTGAGCCAAACTCACAGCACTTTTATTCTCTCATGTTTCGGTACGCAGAATAGCAGATTGTTCTTTCATTTATCTCCATGCTGACAGACTTCTGTAAAAATAAATTCATGGAGTGCCTCTGAAAAAAATACTTGGCAGTGCTTGTGAGCTCATCAGAGTTATTATACATTGGCATCATTAATTTCGGGGCACTTATTTAAGTATGCTGTAGAGGTTTCATTTACTAGACATCTTAAAGTGGTATTAGCATGTAAGCTTTTCTGCAACTTCCTGAGTTGTCAGATGGTTATTCAAGACTGTGATGGACAAAAAAAAACCTACTGCTAGAGTTCTTCAGAATTTCCTAGTAGCATCAAATTTGTTCATGATTAATGGCTGTTTAAAGCTAGCAAAGTTTCAGCTTTCCTTTTCCAATCTGAAAGTGTGGGTGGCCTTTTTTAGTTACTTCAGGCAATGTGTGAATGAATCTCTTTGTAAATTTCTTAATATTACAACCACTTGTGTGAGTAACATCTAATACTGCAAAAACCTGTGTGTATTTGAAACCCACATTTAACTTGAACACAGTGGCTGGGATAAAGGCATCAGTGAAGTCAGTGCTTAAGTTCTTGCACTGGCTAAACAACAGAGGATCAAAAGGAGTGGGACAGACTTAAGCATGGTACCGTGATGACAAGGGATAGTTCTCTTAATGTGAAGCTATTAATAGAATTGCAGCTTTTGATTGGACCTCCAGCTAAATAACAAAACATTTGAGGCGTATTTTCTTTCAAGTGCAAATGAATTTGATTACCGTGCTACCTGAATGCACACAATGAGATTATACCCATATATTAGCCTTTGTAAGTTGTTCCTTGTTGTAATAAAACCGTTATACTTACATGGTGCAATATCAGAACACCTACAGAAATCTACCTCTGTACAGGAAGAGAGTCCAGAAATTGTGGGAAGACCTATGTATGTATAGCTGATACTTCACTACACGTCTGCTGGAGAAAGATTGTGGTGTTGCATGAAATTTCTGAACAGATTCCTTTTCGAAGCAACATCCAACTCCTTTGGTCTGATTTTCTTTATCTGTCATGACTTCATCCAAAAACTTCAACAGCATTACCTTGTAATAAAGTTTCTATGTATATATGGTTTATAGCTTGATGGCATGTTTAAATTATATTGCTTCAGTTTGTTGTATAGTACGCTTATTTTTTTTATGTGCATATACTGGATGAAATGGTAAGAAAAAGTTGTTTCCTGATGAAATCTTCGCTAAACTACACAAGAGCTGCCTTGCTGTTCTGAAAAGATACCCTTGAACTGTTTGTAAAACTTGAAGAATATTCCTCTTGTATAGGTGGCACTGCTGTACATGTTCTCTTTTGCCATTGTGCTTGCCTCTTGCACTTCCCATGCTGGTGGGAGACTAGGAATGGGCCAGTGGGTGAAACACATCTGTCTACAATATACCACCCTCTGCTCTCACTGCAACAGAAGTGGGGGGCTCAGTGCATAAAATAAACTTTTTTCAGTTGAATCCACCATTTCTTGCACCTACTCAAGTGTTTTAACCTATTGAGATAGTAGCAATGTAAAAATCTAGTAGATTGTCTGCCACAGTATTGTTTTTAGAGATGAGGAGGGCATCTAACTGGGGGCAGCTTTTAGTGGCTAGGTGGAATGTATGTATTATAACTAGTGACTTATAATGACTAATCCTTGTCCCTTTTTTTGGTCAGCTTTTATTTTATAATAAACTGATTGTAAGTTTTTAAAGCTCTTTTCTGTAAAGTGCCAGTTTAAAAAAAAAAACCAAAAAACAAAAATCCTTTAACTCAATAGTCTTTCCCTTTCCACCTTCTTTCACTGAAAATTTTAACATATATCAAAAGAGTTTGTTGCAACTTCATATATAGTGAAAAACTTGCCTAAGATTTTATTCTGGCTTTTAAATCTACAATTGGGAAGTCTGTAATTTTTGACAACGCATCTTTCTAGCCACGTGTTTGAAACGACATTATTTAGTTCCCTGATACAATTTTGGCAACTAATAATTTTCATTGCTGCTGCCTTTGCAGCAATGGGGAAAGTTCCTCGTGTGGTCACAGCCATAGTGCTTTACTTCTCAGCTGAATGTTGTGCTGAGACAATCTTGTCTCTAGTGGATTTTTAGAAAAGACTAAATTGGATTGAGGGAAAGTAACTGGAAATGCTACATTCATTTGGAAATTGTCTTGGGGGTGTTATTGACTTGAGCGTATCGAGTGCTAGATATCTTGGGTTATAGTACTTTATGCTGAGACTGCTACAAGGGGTACGTGTTGGGAGGTACTTTTGCTCTGCCTTCTCCAGTAAGTTTGCCTCAGCCATGGCACCTTGTGTTTATCCGCTGTAGTTAATGAACGTGGACAGACGTGGGCTGTGCTATCACTTAGAATAATAGATATATCTGTATGCAGCAGTCTCAACTGGATTATATTTAGACAGTGTTCAGTTACCTAAACTTTGGTGCTTTGTATTCAAATGGAGCATGACCATGAATTGTCCTAAATAAATCTTGATACTGAATTATGTACCGATTCTGTCTCATTCCATATAAAAACTTAACTCTTTAAGTGCACTTTAATATACCTGCTTGTCTGGTGAATTTAGCATGAATACTTAGTAGTGACAGTAATACTGTATCAGCTGTTTATGAGTATTCTGGATTACAGCTACACTTCACACTGTGATATATGGAAGGAGAAAGTTGCTGGATAGCAAAAAGAAATGATAATTTGCTCTCTAGAATTGTAAAATAACGAATTGTTTCAAGGCAGACAAGTATCTAGTGGCTTTAAAGCTCTTACCTGGGAAGAGTGATGCTGCATGAAGCCAGTCTATGGGGGTTGGCTGGTTATGCTGAAGTTTACTATATACAGTTATTTAAAACACTGGTGCACAGGGAACAGTAAAGATACTTATTTGTGCATAGCCCAATGCTTAGTAAACACAGAGGAGGAGGAAGGGGTGAAAATCAGCCCTGACGTAGAAGAGGGGGATATTATTTTCAAAAATAAGTTGTGCAAAAATTTACTTAACAAATTTATTGAACATTTTCATAAATTCCTGTGAACAGTTAAAAGCCCAACTTCCACAAATTAATGACCGGACCTAGAGCAGAAGGTGTTCGGGTGTTTTGCAAGGGACAGTGAGGGGTGGTTACCTGGCCAGGGGAAAAGGAGGAGGAGCTGATCTTCAGGTTGGCACAGAACAGATGAGATGTTTCTGTTACTGTGTAAACAAAGAACTTGTAAGGACAGGTTTTGAGGAAGGGAGCCAAGATGTTAAGATGTCCTTAGCTATTCTTGAAATGAAAAATAAACAATGAGGATTTGTGTCAGCAACACAGAGGTAATATCCATTTAAATTGTGCAGAGTTCAATCTGGGAGATTGTACCTACTCTGAAATCACTGCATTTCTGCCCCTATCTTCCAAGTGTATAGTTGGGTGCACCTGAAAAATAAGGTCTGAATTCTGCACATTTATGTACTGGAAATCAGATTTTCTTCAGTGTGAAATTTTTCCCTCAAAAAAAAAGAAAAAAAAAAGGAAAAAAAAAAAAAGACTTAAGATACATCTAAAACCACAGTAAAATATAATGAAATAGCTAATTAAATTGCAGTAAGAACTATTTAGACATTATAGTGTTGTTTGATGTTATTGTCAAATGTATAGCGGTTCATTTAATTTAAGAAAATTGGGAATAGCGTGATACAGAAACCGGCGCTGCGAGGATGAAAAAAGGGAGGGGTGTGCTGCAGGTTCTACCGAGATTTGAACTCGGATCGCTGGATTCAAAGTCCAGAGTGCTAACCATTACACCATAGAACCGGGCGGTGCCACTCGCCACGCCCGGCCGGGGAATAAACCCGGAGCGAACAAACCCCGCTGCCCAAATCCCCGCTGTCCTTCCTTCCCCTTTTCCACCTTAAAACTGGCCAGCAATTTAATACAACCGAAATATTCGTATTTATTCTGCCTTTCTGCGATATTCATTGTCTTCGTAGTATAACGATCCCAAAGATATAACATCAGAAACCAAACACAAGGAGTGGGAGAGCATCTCTCGGATACACAAACCCAACCCTCACCTGTGCGCTGGCTGCCTCCAGCTCTTCTCGCACCTAACTTAGAATTGTGGTTCCATGCACGTTGTTCACACTATAGAAATAAAAAGAATTACTTACATGTCACTATACTAAGTCATGTCTGAAATTTTTCTGATCATTTGTGTAAGAACATACCAACCTAGCTAATTATTCATTTTTATTATCATTATTATTAATTTTATTATTATAATAAATAAGGGGAAAAATATCAGGGAAATTCTATGCTTTGTATCTCTTTCTCTTTTGCTTTAAACACATTTTTCAGGTAGCAGGGCACGTCAGTAG